TTCTTTATTCAAAAAATGTCTATTAATTGCAAATTGATTTTAAAGATTTCTACCTTTACAGAGTTTAGTAAGTTAATAATTATTTTTCCCCCTTCTAGAAACAAAATTTAACCAAAATCTTACTTTTCCCACGCAACAATTGTAATTTTTATTTACTAATAATAGAAAAGTCATGATATTTATATTGGATTACAAAGATCATTACAGAAGACATACATCCATGCATATATCAGTGCACCCCAATATCTTTTCAAATGTTTGCACACCAAAAATCGCTATAAAAATCCTTTTTTGTGCTGACTTTTCTTCGCTACTTTGAAGTGACAAATGTCCTGTCACCTGCACATAAGCAATCCTAAGCAATCCTTTGCTAAATGAAAATATGTACCCAACAATGTCATGGTGAAAGTGACGGAGGATATAAAAGGATATTTGAGAATTAAGCGAATCGAATTGTATAGAATACATGTGACTTTATTTACACAATTTACACAATTTTTACACATTTGTGTACTTGTGCAATGTGTGATGCAGTCTATTCACATGTGAGATTGTGACACTGCGGCAGCAAGGATATGCGTGAGAGTAAGCATTGCACTTGCTATTTGTGATGCAGTCATGGGAAAGTGAAAATGCATATTTTAGATAAAATTTTTTTTTCTTCAATGTTTAATTTTAAGAATTTTTTTTTAAGATCTTTGTGACTTTCAATATTATTTGTTTGTGTAATCGCAGCTAAAAACCGCATAATGTGTGAATGAAATTACGATCATGACTATGAAAGGATACAAAGGATATTTTTATACATGCATAATGATGCATTTTATATCTTTTGCAATGTAAAAATATTTTGTTTTATTTTTTTTATATAATTTTCTATCAATGCTTGGCTAACACAATTATCCTTTTCTGTTGCTTTTGTGTGAATAAATATTAATCTTTTCTTTGTCGATACAATTTTTTTGGAAAATATCTTTTTTGCTATGTGAATTGCAATATTGCATTTACTTTAATGCAAACAATCGTAATTTTCTTTTACATTCATTACATTATTCAAAAAAGATTATAGAAATATTTTTCCCATGATGTGTTTAGCAATATTTAATCAAATTATGCTTCTATTGCGTATAAAAAATATACTCGTATATAAAAGATATGTATATATAAATATTTTTTTTCTAATCAATCTTTATTTTCGACCTAATTTCATTTAAGTAGGCGTCTCTTCTAACCATGTGGGAACAATGTTGCATCTAAATTGGTCAGTTGGTTAAGTATTTAGGTTATTTGTAGGAATAATTATAAATTTATAGATCATGCGTGAGTTCTTTGAAATCTGAAGAGTGTTATAAGCTGTGTATGTTTATATAAATGTTACAGTTTTTGTATCTTAACTCTGGCAAACAGTTAAAAAATTTCAAATAATTTGGAATTATTTTTTGAGAATTTTTATATATACATATATACGCAATCTGCCCCAAATCCGATAATATTACGTTTAAAAATACGACAAAGAATTTATGGATGCAAACCAATAGAACGCTGAAGAATTACCATAAGTCGAAGTTATTTAGATGGCTAGAATAATTTTATAACTATATGTCCTATGATCAAATTTTATTTTATAGTTTATATGTAAATATATACACAGTCTGCCAAAAACTGATAAGAGTTTGCTTAAAACAAGTATAAAGTACATAGAAGGTTTATTACTTCAAGTGACAATAGCCCGGGTGACGTTTATCGAATCTTTTGGATTGTTTCTTGCTCTCATCGTTCGAATTTCATGTTAGTCGAAGAATTTCTGATGACCACATTAGTGTCGAAGCGTTCTCCTTTAATCGTCTATTTGTATGATATTATTTATAATTAAATATATACCTAAGCAGTCTGTTCCAGATCCGATAAAACTTGGCTTAAACATAGTACAAATCGTTTATAATTTTCAACCTTTTATTCTTGTTTGTTACAAATAGTATCTGTCAGGAAGTCCATTGCCTTTACATGAAGCGTTGCGGATTTTTTGAGACTTCCAATTTAAGAAACACTCATAAATCAATAGAGCCGAATCAAAAAATTCAATCTGGAGAAATAGTTGACACAAATGATGCTTTGCATGAAGTAATGTACTATAATGCAGTGAAGGGTTCACTCAAATTTTGACAGCAAATTGATAAAGTGTACTGCATACACCTACCATCATTCACTTATAGATGTCGCTACACTCAGATTTTGTATAAACTCTATTTTATTGTATATAATAAAAGAATCAATAATACAAAACATATTTAATATAAATTAATATTAAATTTAAAGTCACATGCATTCATTTATAATTAACATAAGGTTAGAGCTGTATGACAGCACGTATTTAGAGATCTGATCATAGAACTGTTTTTTTCAGATAGCCCTTGGGCTCACTTTATCTCTGTTAACACTTAGTAATAGCTCAATTCTTCTTTCTATTCTAGTTTTTTCGTTTTTTCTTACATATTGCGGAACCTCTTGAACCCTTAAAACTACAAATAGTCTTTCTATACAAGATTAAATATAATTTCATCCTATATTTCCATTTAGCATGCCTTATTGTTATATTCTTACTATTACTTTTGAAAATTATAGATTATAAACTCTCATATTAACAGTTTTATATATCAATAACTAAATTTTATATCATAGACTTATTTGAAAGTTTTATTTCCATTACATCTGCTTTAGTGATATTTGTTATTATTCATTTGGAATATTAATGGTTGCAACGAGGCACCGCATCCAATTGCGACAATTTTACTTGTTGAAAACGACAGAAATGAGGCATTCAACTGACAAATAAGCATCTTAAAGTGAAGTGAGAGAAACTAAATTAAATTTGAACTTTTAACATTGAAGCATATATCAAGTAGAACCTCGAATGTGGCACGCTTCTGTGAAGAATTTGATTTTCAGGTTTTATTTTTAAATTAGAAAAACGAGACTATTTTCTACTTTAAAAAATGAATTGCTGACAAAAATAGCGCACCCCAAAGTCACTTAAGCACAAGTGAAAGTAAAATAATTAAAAAACTTAAATGCCTCTAAAGAATTCCCCTTTGCGTGAGGGGGAAACGATACTGACAGTTTCTGATTACCTTAAGCCAGCTGCATTTATGGTTTGCATTACTTACGTTTGGGGGCTTATAAGAATATTTTTAAAATTTGATTTCCAAAAAAAGTCAATATTTTTTTTAAATATTTTTTAACATCGCTACTTACACTTATTTATTTTCTAACGTATTTCAGGTGTAGTTAGGAAAGAAACTACCTCTGTTTTCGATGAAGATATTCACCTGTTTCTCTTCAACTTCACTGCAACAATCAACATTAGCGGATGTTTATTCTATTACCCAAGAAAATTTGCTCTCAATAAGCGTAAGTTGGTTTGTATTTGGTAAGTCAACGCATATTTGCTTATTATAAACATTATTTAAGAAAAATTCGGAATAGTTATAGTTTTAAGAATATATGGTCAGGATGCGAAGGAAACAGCTGAACATATCTATTTACAATAAATATAAACACAAGTGCCATGTGATGTAAATTGACGCAATCATTGTGGAGGTATGGAGAAGTCAGTTATTTTAGTAAAATTTTAGATTCGGATAAGGAATACTAATCTTACCAATAAAAAAAAAATAAATCAACTAAAAATAAATTAAAAACATATGCCAACATAGAAAATTATCATAAAAAGTTAAGAGAGCTCACAGTTATGATAATACTATCATAAAATCTAGAATCTAAGCTGATAAAGATGATGCTCGTATCAACAAAGCGAAAGCCACGTTTAGCAAAGTTGAGATTAGAGGTACTGGAGTCTAAAATTCCAGTGTTTTACGTGATTACCTACCGTGTAGGCTTAACATCACGTTACTCAAAAGCAAACGTCTTGATACAATGCATCAATAAGCGCCCCCTTGGAATTAACTTCCGCAGGTACCAATGAAGAAATGCGTGTAGGTCATTATTTCCATCTTGGTTTAATGCGAGGTCTACCTACAAATTCTGCTACAATGTGGGCTGTAGCACCCGGTGATGAATACGCAACTCTACGCCGCATGCACCATAATGTTTTCATTCTTCCCGCGTGAGTTTGGGTATTAACAGCCACTACGAGGCCAACACCAATGGTCAGTACAGCCGAAGCTGCGGGTCACTGACCCCCATAGTACCTCAGATCATCTCTGGTCAGATGGTGCAAGTGCCGTGCTCACTCACTACCATACGTACTTCCTACACAAGTACCGGATTGGCACTGGAATTTTAGTCGCCTTTTACGACAAGCATATCTACTGCGGGAATATTCTAGATCCCTTACCCGCAGGGGGGTACTGGAGTCTGTCTGCAAAACCAAAAAGTGATCTGAAACCTGCTCTTCGGCTTATCAACGAGTTCGTGCCCAACAAATGCCAAGAAGGTATTAATGTCAGAATGTATTTTTGAAACTCTTAATAAATAAACTTCTCATTAAACTCATTGACCAAGTACTAACATTTCTGTTAATACCTATTGGAGTAATTAGAAAAACAAACCATTTTTAATTATATAGTACATCTGCTCTCATAGCACAAAAAACGATCACTAAACCCAATATTAAGCTCTCTTAGACTTTTGAGTGTTTTTAAAACCTCAAGAAATTATCATAAAACAATGTGCTGATAGCTACCATAAAGAATTATTTTGCAGACCTTCCAAAAAACGTTTACAGAGATCGGATCCATAAATTAGAGGATCGTTCGAGTGGTTATATTGAAGTTAACATGAATGGTTTTTATGTCTCAACATCTGTTTTTTCATCCGTTCTGCAAATTTATTGGTATATTGGTGTCTTACTACAGTAGTATATGTTATGTTTATGTTTTTTATCGGTTTTGTTTGTTTTTTTTGTATATTATTGTATAATTATTTTTTAATATCTATTGAGTTTATGAAAAAATATTTGTACAAAATTAACATGTACGCTGTTTATTTGAAAAGCTTTATTTTAGATCTCAAAATGCTCCATTCAGAATATGTTAACTTCGAATTTAAATGAAAATATCTACTATTTATTTGACACTCAGTTCCAGCATTAGCCCGTAATATTATATATATGAAACATAATAAAAATTATTTTTGATTTTCGTCAAATGTGGTTCTATATTAAAGATAATAACAACAACAAATTTAGTTTACTATGATTAGATCATTTAGTATGCTAAATTAGTTTTTGTTATTATTGTTAATATTTTCCACTAAACATTCGAAATCATTATTTCACCAAAAGTACCAGCCTAAGGCTCCAATTAAAGGTGGTACGGTGGCCACATAACAATAATACATTAACGATTTTTCTTTCTCCTCAACCTCTTGTAAGAGTTGTTTACTTTTAACCTTATGCGTCCGATCTACTATTGCTTTTAGCCGATGCTGGAATTCTATTTTCGATGACTTGTGATTTCGACAATACTCTTCTGTAAATGTTTTCGGTTCATAGTTTAAAGAATCGTCGTTCTTTTCATTTGTTGCCCCTTCTTCCGAGGATAAGGGCTTAAACGCACTTCGCGGTATTCGCATGAAATTGCTCAAGACATTTTGGTAGAACTCTATATCTTGTATGTACTCTTTTTGCACTTTTCTGTACACACTTTTGTACTTTTGTCTTATATTTTCATCACCCAGTTTGGGTATGTGGCAACAGCTTCGTATACTGGAAGGAAGTGATGATTCAACCTTTCTGATTTCTGGAACTGACTGAAAATATTTTAAAAATTTTATTTCTTAACGAATCTTATTGGTTCCGAGTTAATGTTACCCTTTTCAGATTCTTAAGCCTAGGCATTGTTTTTAAAGTATATATAATTTTGCTATAATGGATTTTGTGCCAAAATTTTAATTTCTGAATAAATATATTTAAAAAATATAAAAATTATGTAAAATATTTAAATTGAGAATACTTTTGCAATTTACATAGTTATGCTTTTAATACTTTTTTTTATTTGTCAATTATTATTTTTTCAATAAAATTGTAGACGTAACTACTTCGTTAAATAGAAACCTATAATATCTTAAGGTAAATACTTTAGAAAGTTAATTATGAAATATTTAATATATCAACTGTAATTTTATCTAAACCATATTACCTTGAAGGATACACTAAGTATTTTTGCAACCCTTATTCTTCTCTCTGGTTGTCTCCAGAGATTTATATCAATAAGTTTGAGTCATCTAAAATCATCTTCAACAGCTTCGGTAGAAATTGGTAAAATTCGATGTAAAATTGATAAGGACTTGCGTCTGATAAGCGGTTAAAAAAATATTTCCCGAGACACCCATTTCGTCTGGATGCCAGAGCCGGACATTCATAAAGAAAACGTTTGATAGTTTTTTTCCCTGCAAGCTTCCACAACTTATGCAATGAGTATTGTAAGGAAGATATCATTTCTCTGCATGGGTTCCTATATACCAGTATACTGAAGTAAGAGTTTAATAACAACGTAATCTCCAGAAACGTACCCGTTTTCTAAATATCAAAATCATGTATACTGACACGTTACTTTGTGTAAAAATGTGTCACATGAAATTATTTATTTATACAGTCCAAATTTAGTTTTAGAAACCAAAATTGTGCATTTTCTTGAGACACAGCTTTAAATGATTAAGAAGCTAACCATTAAAAAGACCTTCAAGATATAGTCATTTCGAGGCTCCGGTGACAGATATATACTACAAACCATTTTTGCAATAATGGCAGACAATTTTGTACAAAATAAAAGAAATGAACTAATATCACATATGCATTTTTTTTCGGGTTTCATATACAATATCTTCAGTGTCAAAAATTATAACACGTCATGAGACGTCATGAAAACTCGAGTCTAGAAAAAGAAGTTGTCAAACATTTCCATATAAATTTTCATCAATAGCGCTTGTCCTAAACGACTGTCAAAAGGATGTTCAAAAAAGAATGCTCACATGTCAAAATTTTACATTCCATAAATTCATAAATCATAATCCTGTTTCCTAAATATAAAGTTATGCTTTGTGAAGTTTCTTCATTTATCCTATATCTGTTCATACTTATCGTTCAAAGTAAATAGATGCAAAAATTAGTTAAGCTTTTATTAATAATTTTTGTAATTTGATACTAAACGATGAATATTTTAAATTTAATTGAAAATTTAATAAGTTCGCTTAAGCATCAAATATACGAAGCTTTTTGGTACGAATAATTCAAATAATTTAGGATCACCAGTAAGAGACATTAATAGCCCACCAAAAGAGGCATGCATTGAAACTGGCCGGCCATCATCTTCAATAGAGTTACCCATTTGGTAAAATCTTCCATGCATTACGTAATCAAAGTCATCAGCAAGCGTTCTTTCTTTTGTTGGAACGTATGATTCTTCACCCAATGAACCATCCAAATTGAGGCTATTAACAATTACCATACGAATATTGATGCCTACCTCTACCGAAAATACCCATGAATATACATCCAATAACAATGTGGCATTAAAACCTAGTGAACGGCAAACAATGCGTGAAATACTTTCGAAGTTCTTGCCACCTGGGTCAACTTCTTCGATAGTAAAAATATCATCGTAAAGCACATTATCTGAAATAAGAATATTATAAAAATGGTTAGAATCAATAAATTTCACAAACCTCTAGCTGCATTTGCCATATTAGACGTCAATTCTCAACGGTTGTACCAGAGAAACTGATTGAAATATGAAAAAATTTTATATTGTCAATTTATCGATAATAACCCAGGGCTGTTATTGTTTACTGTTATTTATATGCAGAGATGATAAAAATTAATACCCGTGCTTTAAAATTTTAAAACTTATTTAATAAATAAATTAGGAGAACAATACACAAACATATTAAAATATCCTTAAATAATATCTGTATAAGTAGAGAAATATTATATATACACAAAAGCATTTTAGTTTACGGTCAAAACAATTCAAAATTTGCAAAGTATAACATCTCTGCATTAAAACAACTGTCATGCGCAATGAAACTAACACGCTAGAAATTTCTTTTTCATTTTTCGTATAATTACTCCTTATATATCTAAATATATATAATAATAATATAAACACAACACATATATGTATGTAATTTATAGAATTTATTGGAGATATTTCTATAGGCACTATTTTTGAACAGCAATCAATTTTCAGGAAATTTTATTTTCGCTATATATGGTAATATACCACTTTCGCAGGATAACCAATAAAAAAGTGACTTCTTTGTCCAATTCGACTTCACTCATCAAAGTAGTCTCCTTTAAGAGAATGCAATCATTCCAGCACTTCTGTAGAATGATTCATCTTTGGCCTTCAAGTATACCTCAGTTTCGGTGATAACTTTTTCATCGATGTCAAATAAAGTTCCTTGAAGTTTATTTACCAGATTTAAGTATAAACCGATCTGTTATTCTGATATTGTTCAATAACCAACTTTGTCATAACCGTTTAGCTTTTCGGATTGCTAATAGTGTCAGATCTCAAGCGATATAACTATTAATATTCTTTTCTCCTTAATTTAATGAATTACCCGTTAATATATTTTTAAACTGACTTTATTCATTTTAGTAACTTTTTAAATTCACTTTCTCATGTATTTAGAATGAATTATTTTTAAAAATAATTTTTATATGCGATTGTTTTGAGTATTGCTTATGGAATTCTTTATTTCTTTCTACATTGACTGATAAGCCTTAGATTTACGGCTACCCAAATGCTGAGCCCACATAATTGTCTCATTAATTTCATCGCAATCTACGCTTGCATATGTTGATCGAGTTGAAGTGACTCGACCATTTCACCTCCGGGGCGCATATCAGCGCAATGCTTACTCATGCCGAAATACCCGAAATATCTGAAAGCAAGTGCAATTCAAATCATTTTTAATTGTTATTTCTGCAAACAAAAGTAAAAGTAAATGAAAAATAAATTTAAAAATAATTTCAAATAAATTGTCTTTAACTGATAGCCCGTAAATGGTTGACGCCACAAGTCGTGGTTGTTTAATATTTTTTCTTTTTAAATAATTCAATAAATGCATTTCCTGTGCAACCTCCAAAAATATTTGCTTAAATACAATATTTAACTCATTTAATATGCAAAGTATTGACTATAAAATAAAAATAAACCGGTTAATATATTGCAGTCTAACATTCAAGTATTTACAGAACTCTAATTTAAGTTTAATGCCTTATTTGAATAAGTAACGCATAAATCACTTAGTGCTACTGAGCACTGTGTCACTCTGGACTTAGTCCGAAGTACTTAATCTGATAACCTGCCTAGTATTCTCAACTCACTCATAGAGATAATGTGCTAATAAACGTCTCATTGGAATTCCAAGGAATTTTCACCAGTACCAATTGAAGTTATGTGTTCGGTATAACTTCCTCCTTGATAAGGAGTCAGGCCTATCTAATTCCTATGCTGATCTTTGGATTGCAACATCCAGTTGAAAAATGCTACTCCTCATCAATTTAAAGTAAATAAATACAATCATTCTACCCGCATGTATTTGGATATTAACCACAGCTACCACGGCAGTGCCAACGTCAGCGGTAAGGACGGATGAAGCTGCGTACCCCCGTCGTAACAGATTTATACCTCTGGTTGGGTGCCGCAAGTGACACCCAATCAATACCATTTAACTCCAAGCAGTGTCGAATGATCTCCTGTATTTTAGTTACCTCTTACAATAGGCATGCCTTACCTCGGAAATATTATAGCCCCCTTTCAGCAGGGATACATACTGCTACAGTCATAACCAGATATCAATAGCATGAATGCTAAAAATAGCCGGCAGTCATTGATTATAATGCATAAACTAATCTACTTTATTAAGCACCTGGGCTTGTTATAGACAAATCATCTCTTATGCATGTCTAATTATAACAACAGTTTATATTGAAGAAAGGTTCCAAAAAATGGTTACAATAACAAAAATTTATTTTTATTATTTTTAATTTATTGAATTTTTGGCTCACCAAACAGCTGTTTCGAATATTACCGAATACTCATCATCAGTGATAATAATTATAGTATCAATATGTCAAAATCTCAAGTTTGCATTCTTTAACCCCATATTAGTAACATTACCTCATCTTGTTTAACCACCTCAATCGATTTTAGTTTTGTGCAGCATTTGCTTGATCTAATGTCTTTAGGATGCTAGATCGATTTTTGCCGATCTTACATATGTATGTTAAGGCTATTACTATATTGCAGTGTCCATACCAATCATTCAAAGTCATCCCACTGCCAACTAGATGAGGTAAATCGTGACACAGGTCAATTAAAAATATGATACTGAAGATCGTAAATTAAAGATCTTGATAGATAATGGTTTAGATATCTACACCATTATCCATTATATATACCGGGTGGTGTAGATAATTTCGCTAATGATTGTTTACAGAATCTATTAGTAATTTTTGTTACTAAAGAATGAAGAACTGAAGATTGTTCATACATAGAACATAATTATTCTTAAATTATAAACCCCGAACTCAACAATGATTCCATGCAATTTTATGAGCTGCACTTAAGTTTTCTCATATAATTAAAATTAAATAATATATGCTAGTATATATTATGATATTCTTAATACAGAAAAACTTAAATATTGAATTTGTAACTAATCAAGGTTGATTTGTTAAATTTACTCTATCGTGCTTATTCAAAAATACGTACTCGTATTACTCTAATCAGTGCTGCAGAAAATTTATGTACTTTAAATGGGTGTTCATTATCAGTTGACTTAGACGGCGCCAAGTCGGTTTGCTTTTTGAACTTTTTTCGATGCGTTTCTAAATAAAATTAATATTTAATTTTATGAATTTTTATGTTGACATTGACCCTTCTTAATAGTGATAGGCAAAGTAATTAAGTGTAATGCACTTGTCTTGCAAATAAAATATTCCAAAATTGACTTAACTAAATAATGAGCTATACTTATGTACACTTATGTATACTTGCATATGAAACAAAGGTATGAATGACACTGATATTTGAATGTAAGTATATAATTTGAGTTTCCTATGGAAGTATCTAAAACTGATGGATAGAACAATGAACAAAAGTTTCGCATATGAGGCCAAACCAACAAAAAAAACTATCAAAAGACCGATGTAATTGTTGCCATGCAATAGAAGAATGCTACCAAGTAAGATACTACCAGGATTACACCACTTACTTCCTAAAGAAAATACCAGGACTACTAAGTATCTTATATGCATTAAGTTAGATTTCTCAAGAATCAAAAAGTACTGAAAGAACGCATATTTACAAAGAAATGCTCAAGAAGACCTTCTTTAGCTTAATGGATATAAGTCATAAAGTAGAGGTTTTGTAGTGTGTTCAGTAGGACTATGAAATATTCAACTAATAGTGGATCTATGTAATGCAACTTTTGAAAATAAAAACTAAATTCGCCCTTACTAGGTATATTAGGATAGATGGAGTAACTAATGCAAAATCGAAATATGTTTTTAATTATGTACTAAAAGCACAAATGAACAGAAGTCTTAAATAAAGACATTAGACAATATTCGAGAGAAAAGATCTTTGTAAGATCTTTGGTCCTCTACCAGTTGCCGACGATTACCGTATACAAATAAACCATGAGCTGTAGGAGTTTTTCACCACATTGATGTAATTTAACACATTATCATCCAGCGACTTCGCTGGCTTGATCATGTTATGAGAATTGCTGAAGATGCTCCAGCAAAAAAGGTATTTTAAGCAGTAATTTGAGGAAGAAGGTGTAGAGATAGACCATGTCTCCACTTAAATGATCAAATTGAGAGAACAGTAACCGGACTTGATGTACCAGACGGGAGAAGGTACGCACGCAGCAAAGATGCCTGGATAGACATGCTGCGTCAGGGTGAAACTACGTAACGGGTTGTTATGGCGAAATAAGAAGAAGAAGGTGGCACTCAACACACGTCAGATAGTTCTTGGGACTATATCTTATTATACTCTTTCTGTGTTTTTTCTTATTATATGTACTAGTATATCAATATTATTATTTTGAATCCTTGCAAATTAAAGTAAATCTTTAGAAGATATCAGTCATTATCGTAAGTACTAAATTTAAAATATAAAAAGATATATATGAAAATTGAGATATATATAAAATTGAAAAACCTCTTTACAAGAAGTGTTTTAGAAGAAGTATTTTAATACTTCAGTAATTTTGTTTTAAGACTTGAATAGTCATTATTCGCAAACCTTCATTATTGCTATTTTTTACTTCAACCTCATAAAAAACATTTTTTTAAATGAATGTGAATTTTTTAATTAACAAAAGGGCTACCTTAGATATAAGGTTCAATAAGCAACTAATTACAACACAATAATGACTATAAGACCTTATAAATACCAAATGGGTTCTATAAGATGCCGCATATTTTTTATTAATACTTGTAGTGCATTAAGTGCAAACAAAAAAAAATAGTTAACAAATCCTTATTCTAATCTTCAGGATGAGAACATATTGCGAAATAAATGCGCTCTCAACCATTAAATATTTGATCTTTCACATTTATTTTTTTTCAATAATATTTCATAAAAGATACATTTCATGCAATACAAACAACATTTACACAATTTACAATAACAACAATGTATTTATATACATATAAGTACTGTAAGGCAGAATTTGTAAATTGTGCTCGACTTAGACACAACAGTTCATCCAAGTGTCCAGTTAAGAACAAGTTAAGAATATTTCTAT